CTGCCTCGGATTCCCTCTTAATGCCCCATCAACATTAAATTTAACCATGCCTTTTAGGGGAGGCTGCCATATCCCCTCAATTTTAACTGATTTAATCTTCCTAGGTAGGAGCCTTATACTAGGCTTTCTCGTTAGCTCTAAGACCGAAACATTCATGTTTGGCCACTTTGCATTAGCCCACCATGCCACTCGAAGTTTAACGATGTTATACACTTGTTTAGGATCCCAGAGTTTCCCATTGAAAAGGATATCATTCCTAACCAGCCAAATGGACCAAACAATGGCAAAAAAAGGCATCCTCCATATATCCCCATTCTCCACACACTTTGCAAAACCATTTCAACTCTAAAAAACAACTATGAGATCTTTATGATTCACCCATTTCAGTCCCCAATTTCTGCCCACCAGCTCTAGAGCATCCAAGTCTCGGAACACGTGAAAAAAAGGTGACCGATGGACTCCACTCCTTTTTACATATGAGACAGCAAGCTATCGTACTATTAAGAATTCCCCTGCTCAATAAATTTTCTTTCACGGCAACTCTTTCTCTTATCAACATCCACCCAAAAATTTCAACTTTGAGAGGGGCTAAGCCCTTCCATAAGTCTCTCCACAAGCTGTCTTTTTCATAACTCATTCCCATCATATGATGATAGTACGACTTAGTAGAATACTCTCCACTTGAATTAAATTTCCATATTAATTTATCAGCAAAACCCTTTCCCAGTACTTGACTCTCAAAGCAATGACGCAAATGCAGACCACTGCTCCTTATCATGACATGAAATTTAAGTTATTGATTATAAATTTTATGCACAGAGAATGCTCTAGCAAAAAAGAATAAGAAAAAAATAACTTTTTGTTTTTATTTGGTAGGAACAAAAGAAAACAAGAAGTGATAATTGCAAGGTTTTAGGAAGTGAGATTTGGGTATAATTCTATTGCAATAGTTTTATTTTTAGTCTAAGTCTATTAAAAGTAGTTGTAACTAATTATTGTGGGGCATCTCATCAAATAAAAATTATTATAAAAAGAAAATTATAAAATTTTAATAAAAAAAATATGTTGAAAAATTTTAAAATTTTTATAAAAACAAAATTAAAAAATTTCAAAAAAAAAATAAAGACAAGTATAAAAATTTTTAAATTGCTGGGTGGGCGGCCCCCACTGGCCTTCCACCCCTCCACCTCTG